TATGACAGGCAGCCTCTGAAGGGCTCCTGAACCCCAGCCCCTGTGGAAGGCCCTCGCCTCACGAGTGGGCAGAGCCCATCGATGTGTTTCTCACAGTCAGAGCAGGATCGGGAAGGCGCGGCTGACGTTAGGTCGTAAGCGCTGGCACCGCCGGCCTGCTGTCACTCTGGGCTCCGCCTGCCTGCCGCTCTGATGAGGGAGATGTCCCCAAACTGCCTGCGTGGGGCTGTGCACTGTGCACAGACGGTGCTGTGCTAGGGCTGGGGGCAGACAGCAGGTAGGAGCCCTCCCTTTGAGTAGCGGACAATGTAAAACAGGGCACACAAAACCAGGCAGCGTCCAATGACCGGGAAGTGGAGCGACACTGCAGCGAGCCTGAGTCAATGAGAGGAAGACGCACAAAGTAAGGAGATTACACTTAAAATATCTCTCCTTCAACACCCGCTGTCCTCAGGATCCTGCCTTACTATCTGTATCCAAAGTTCTGGGCCATCTGCTCCCGTTGCGTCTCCGGGCCCGTTCTGCACGGACAGCCCTCGTCCACCACTTCCCCTCGAGCCACTGACAGGGCGGCTGATGACACGCAAGCTTCCACCAGCCTCCAGCGGCTGCATCGGGAAAGCCCCCTTACGGGCCCTGGACGCAGCCACGGAGCCCCTCTGTGCTCCACAACACGCAACCTAGGAGTGCGGTGGCTGGAGCGCGTTGGGTCGGCGCCCTTCGGGGATGGAGGGCAGAGGCTGGCGGATAAGGCTTCCTCTCTCAGCCTCCCAGGACCTCCAAGAGGCACACGGCCCCACAGAAGGTCCAAGGGCATCCAGGGCAAGTTGGTCACGATGGTGACCAATCTGGTGGCACAGCTTTCGCAATGGGGCTTCGAGGAAAGGGGCGCGACAGACACGTGACCTAGGACGTCAGCATCATGTGCGTGGCATCTCACACCACAGGGAAGGGTGAGATCGCCGTGAGGGACAGACGACCCGCCTGGGCTGAGCCCCGGCGCTACGAAGTTCAGACGTTCAGCGTCCACGGTGGCCGGCTTTCCTCCTCTTTGGTGCATCCCCTGTTGTGTACATAGTAAGACACTTGGTCGCCTTTTCTCCTATCTGGTTGGACTCTCTTCTTAGAAGAGATTTATCCTTAGAAGATTTATCCTTTATAACCTTTACAATGTGCTGAATTTCCTCAGACTCAGTCTTAGGCCTTCTTCACTTCCATATGTTTCCTATAATTGCCCCTGTGGGTCACGTCATCCACACTCATGGTTGTATTTTACTCCTTTAAGTTAATTACTTTAAAAATGTTCTCCATTCCAGGCATGGCTTATGAGATTCACACCCATCTTTTTTTTTTTTTTTAAATGTTTATTTATCTTTGAGAGAGAGAGATAGAGCAACAGAGAGACAGAGTGTGAGCATGGGAGGGGCAGAGAGAGAGAGGGAGACACAGAATCCGAAGCAGGCTCTGCACAGACAGCACAGAGTCCGATGCGGGGCTCAAACTCATGAACCTCGAGGTCATGACCTGCGCCGAAGTCAGACGCTCAACCAACTGAGCCACCCAGGTGCCCCCACGCCCATCTTTCCAGTTATTTTCTTGTAAATTGTAGACTCTTATTAAGCATCCCAGAGTCTCCTGAGACTCAGTTCCCAAAGCAAACCCACGAACAGCGTGAGGTCCCGCCATGCTCTTTGCAGCCCTGCACCTGACGGGCGAGCCCTGTCTTCTCTCTAGCTGCCCTGGGTTTCTCTTTATTCACCATGCACGCTCATGCCACAGGACTCTGTTGGAGTCCAGCTGAAGTTCCGATGCCTTCTGGAAGCCTTTCCAGGCCCACCTAACTAGGTCAAATCCTTTTGTTTTATGCCCCTGAAGCTCCTCTTGGCAGTTCTGCACAAGTGGCACTGGTTACACGCCTCCGTAGTGACTGTATTGCAGGCCCCATGACACAAGGTGGCATGTCTCCTTTGCACAACTTGGTGCGCAGAAGAATATAACTGGAGATATTAAAAAATAACGGGAGATATCGCTGCCAGACTAGAAGCAGCTGCAGTCTTCCTGAGGAAAGAGCCCTGTGTCCAAGCCCTGGAGAGGGACGCTGTTGTGGGAACACCTACGTTTGCCAGGTAAGTGTTTTCCATGGGCTCTCCCACTCAGTCCCCACCTCAGCATGGCCAGATGCCCACTCACCCCTTCTTTCAGGCGAGAAGCTGGGCTACAAAGAGGCAGCTGATGGTTCTGGACGCGCACTCGAGCCCGGGACTGCTAGATTTGCAAGTCCGCTGTGGGCAGGCAGCAGAGAGAAGCAGTCAGAGAACTGCTGTTTTCCTAACGCAGAGTGCAGTGTTTGGGTATTTTGGGTGGAGCGGGCACCCAATATACTGAAATTTTATTGCAAATGAAACATGTATGCTATTACATGAGACATGCTGGTAATTGGCTAGTTCATTCACACAAAAATACTTTCTTATGACAGTCTTTTCAATGAAAAGTTGAGTTAGTCCCTAGATACAAGGTATCCTGGCTGCCTTTGAAACCCACAAATAAGGATGTGATGGGCATGGGTCCAAAGACAGAATTCCAGTTTCCCTACCATTAGACGGGAGTCACATACTGTAAAACCTATTTGGGAAACCCTGTATAACCCACATGAGAATATAGAAGAGCTTCAAAACATCCTCAGTAAAGAAACTTGTTTAATTTTCTTTAACTAGAATTAAATTTATGTGAATATGGAAACTATCTTTTCTGGAATATCCATGGATAATTATGCAGATGCTAAAAATAAAGTCGGAAGTCCTGGTTTGTTTCACTTCCTCCAGGATTACAGATCTAGACCCTCCCCTTGCAACCCATTCCCCTTTCTAAAAATATCTGCATCTTAATTTATTCAGCTGGGAAGTTATGCCTAACACCTAACTCCAAGCCCTCCTGCAGACGGCTAATGTTCCCGCAGAAGAACAGAATCCTTGCTTAGTCGTACGTACTGTAACTGCTCACTACTGGAAAACCATGAAGGGTTGCTTCTCCGATTCAAGTTTAAAGTCTCCATTTCCATAGAGTTTTTATATCGCAAACATTTTCAATACTTAATTTTATAGTTCACTAAATCCATTCCGAATTTCTTACATTTTCCCTAGTCTAACACAGGGACGCTGTGGTGAGAAAGGGTTTCTTCAAGGTTCCTGTGCACAGCCAGTGCTTACATGGCAAAGACTCTTATTTGGGGAAGTATGCTTTCCCAAAACAGTCATAACGTGGAATGGGAGCCCACGGCCCTCTTTCAGAAGGAGCATTGGGACATACAAGGAAAACCAGTGGAGAATTCTACCACGCGCAGAACCACAGAATCACAGATGCGCCCACATCCTCCCGATGAGCAAATGGGAGAATCTCTCCCGTAAGATTTGGGAGAACAAACACAAAATGTGCTGGAGGCTTCTAGGAGCAGGAAGCTCATTATGAAACAAGGCGATCCATCCCCTGGTTGAGATGCTCCCATTGTGAAAAGATGCTCTAGTAAGACGACCAGATATCTGTCTCCCTATGCTTTCCTCATGTGGGTGCTGGCTGTGTCGCTCGCAGACCAACCCAGGACAAAGGCATGACCCCATCCCTATGAAAGTCCTTCAAGTACGTGCTGAGCTTATTTCTCTTATTCCAGAGTAGGGATGACATTTTTGGTAGTTTCCGTGAAAGGAGCTGAACCACTCTGTGATCCACGTACATCACGTCCATGTGCCTGAAGCTTAAAGAGGCAAGCACAGGGCGGGGTGCAGGACACGCAGATCCCCAAGGCTAAAGGAAGCCTTCTGCCATGTCCAGTTCCCTCACCTCCCCTAATCAGATGGATAAAGATAACCAGCTGTTCCAAAGGATGTAGATGGAAACAAGGAAAATTTTTATGTTATGGACATTAAAAAAACTCCAGAAAGTGGAAGAGTGAAGGTAGAGTTTCTTAAAAGATCTACCTTTTGAGGAAAAAGATGGAACTCTCCATTAAATAATCCTGTTGTCAAATAACTTTTAAAAGGAATTCTAAAAATTCTAGGATTGGACTTGAACTTCCATGTCAGCCAACCTCCCAGTTACTCCAGTGGGATGGAATTCACCAAGCTCACCCTCTCGTGCCGGGCAAGAGCCTCTCAAACCCACCAAGAGGTATTCAGACTTGACCTACAATCCAGTCCCCTTAGAGCTCCCAGAAGCGTTACAAAACCCCACACAGAATGGCCTCAGAAGAATAGGAAAGGCAGTGGAATTCTAGATTTTACTTGCCAGAGAATGAAGTTCCACAAATGCACATTTCCAAAGCTCCTAGTCTCTTATAATCTGAACACCTGCTTCACTGATACAAATAAATTGCTCTGTCTAGCTCATTTAAAATTAAAGAGCCAAGATGAATTTTAAATTATGAGCATGGTAAAAGAATAAAAGAGAAAGAAAGAGCTGGTTTTAGGCGGCCACTAAAACCCAGGGTGAGATTTTATAGAAACTTCTGGTGCAATTTTATGGGCGACTCATATATGAAGTGTTAAAAACAGGGATTTATATAATGAAAGTGATATTTCAAGTCTTCTCCAGAATACTGTGATACCTAGGAGATAATTAACATTTTATTTTGGCTTAGGGAGAACCTGACAGTTGCCTTTTGTTCTCGGGATAAAATTTATGGTATGATTTAGAAAATGGGGAGAAAAAGATCTGCACAAAAGGGTAAGATAAATCTTTATAAAAAGACAATGTCTCACCATCTCCCTCAAGAAAATCCTATGAAATTGCCCCTAAAAGGAGTGATTTTTTTTTTCCCTGCCAAAGGGATGTTTTTATACCTTTCTTCTCTCCTAGGTGGCAGTGTGGCATAAAAAGAGACTAATTCAGGACCCACCAACTGTTTCAGGATTTCAAGATCACTAAGAATGAAGGTTCGAGGGAAAATACGTAATAGGGTCTCAGAAGAGAAAAACAATTTTTTATAGTCAGAAAAGAGTGGTACTCACGGGCTCCACGTTGTATGAAAACAGAGCATATTCTTTATCTGGAGAGATTTCATATCGGATGGCTCTTAATGACTCCTAACAGGAAAAAAAAAACAAAACAACAACAAAGAATTTTAAAGTGTGACATTATAACATGGCTCAGAATCTTGTAGTGAATCTGTGCTTGCTGATGCCGTTTTCAAAATTTGCTAATATTATTTGTATGCAGCAAATTCACTAAGGTCTGTTAAAGACGGCAATATCCTTTGCTGAATAATATTCAAGTAACTGATACTTTTGCACATTTTATTAATTTTTTTCAAATTTCAACACAGCAATACTTATTGTATCTATGGAAACAAATCAATAGAAGTAAAGATGAAAACCCATAATCCCTTCCCACAAGACTCCCATCCTCTCTGTATCTTTACACTTGGAACAGACTTGAAGCAGACTGGTCCCTAAATTTTTTTTAATGTTTATTTATATTGGGGAGAGAGAGAAGGAGACAGAGTGTGAGAGGGGGAGGGGCAGAGAGGGAGGGAGACACAGAATCCAAGGCAGGCTCCATGGTCCGAGCTCTCAGCACAGAGCCTGATGCGGGGCTCGAACCCATGGACTGTGAGATCATGTCCTGAGCAGAAGTCGGGCGCTTAACGGACTGAGCTGCCAGGCACCCCAAGGAGACTGGCTCCTAAAAGACTGAATTACATTCTATACAGTGTTTTGCAGCTTGCTTTCTCGCATTGCTAGACACCGACCCGGAAGTCGGTCAGAGTGCAGAGGAACAGCTGTGGTCCTTCCTTCAAATATCTTCATGGGACACAGGTCATCTTACATAAATGGAATCATCAAAACTGCTGTCCCCCTCCGTTGCACTCGCCCCCACCTTCTCCGCTGTGATCACACTGCTGTGCACTCTGTCTCCTCTCCCTCCAGCCCCAGCCACCACACCCCCTCAGTCCCCCGCCCTTGGCTTCCATCACAGTGGACTAAAGCCCCTTGACCCCCTTCACCCCAGCCACACTGCTGTCTACACCTTCCCAGAGCACGCAAGGCACATGCGTCTCTGGTCTTCATGACTGGCCTCATGGTCTTCATGACTGGCCTTCCTCTTGCTTGAAATGTTCTAGATTGTCACCTGTCAGCCTTCTTCTCAAAAGCCTCCTTCTAAGTGAAGGCTTCCCTCTCTTCAGTGGCCATGATATCTAGAAATCTCAATAGGCTGGCCTCCAAGTTTTCAGAACCCTCAGCCCTTATTTTCCTAGGCATACGCATTATTAAAATAACGTACATTTAACCTATTTATCTTATTCAGTGCCTGTCCCCTTAAGCAGAATGTAAGCTCCTTGAAATGAGGGCTTCTAAAAGAAACCTTTAATTTCTCTCAGCAATGCTTTATAGTCTCCAGTGTACAGCTCTGGCCCGTATTTTGTTAAAATTTTCCCTGAGTATTTAGCATTACTGATGTTTTGCGTAAGAAAATATACACATCTCAATATCCAGTTGTTTATTGCTACCATGCAGAAATAGAATTGATTTTGGTACCCTGACCTTATGTTCTGCAACCTTGCTAAATTTCATTAATTGTTACAGCAATTTTTTTTGGTAGAGTCTTTAGAATTTTCTATCTAATCATATTTTCTGTGGCTATCTAATCATATTTTCTGTGGCTAAAGAGGTTTTTGTTTTCCATTCCTTTCCTAATTGGATGCATTTTGCAGTTCTTTTTATAGCCTAATTACACACTAGAGAGCCGCCAGTATAATGCCCAGTAGAAGTCATGAGGGTGGACACCTCACCTTTGTCCTGATCTTAAAGAGAGGACATCCAGCCTCCACTAGGAAGTGTATGAATGACAGGTGTTTTTGTAGATGTCTGTCATCAGGTTGAAGATGCTCCTATCTATTTCTAGTTTGCTCAGAATTTTTATAATGGATGTTCAGCTTTATAATGAGTGCTGAATGACCTCAAATGCTTCTTCTGCATCTTCAGAGATAATTATACTGTTTTACTTTCTTTTAGTCTGTCAAAATGGTTAATTACATTGTTTGATGTTCAAATGTTGAACCAAACTTGCATTCCTTGGATAAGCTCTCTTTGGCCATGATGTATTACCCCTTTTGTATACTGCTAGACTCGATTTGCTATTTTGTTGAGGATTTTTGCACCTGTGTTTGTAAGGGAAATTAGTCCGTGGTTTTCTTTTCTGGTAATGACCTTGTTTGGTTTATATTTGGGGGAAGTGCTGGCCTAATAAATGACTTGGGAAGTATTTCCTCCTCTTCGATTTGTTTTATAGGTTTGTACAGAACTGGTATAATGTTTTCCTTAAATGTTTTGGAGAATTCGCCAGTGAAGCCATTTATTTGCACCTTGAATTTTCTGTATGCGGGACATTTTGACTATGAACTCAAGTTTTTACATCAATATAGGACTATTGAGGGTCGCTATTTCATTTTTAGTGAACTGTGATAAATTGTATCTTTTGAGGATTTATTTCATTTCATTTATTTCATTTATTTATTCTCATTTCGTTGTCAAATTTATTGATGTAAGGCTACTATAAATATTTTCTATTGCCCTTTCCAAGCCTGTACTGATCGGACTTTCTTCTGTTTCCTATTATTGGTTTTTGTCCTTTAGCTTTGTTCTTGATCAATTTCATGGATCTTTGTTCAAAAACCAGCTTTGGGTTTTATCTATTTTTTTCTGCTATTTTTTCTTTTCCATATGGTTGGTTTTTCTCTTTTTTGCCTTTATTCTGCGTAATTACATGTCATTTCTCTTTTTTTTTTCTAGTTTTTTTTTTTAATGTGAAAGCTTAGATCTAATAATAGGAGCACTTAAAGCAATAAATTTCCCTATTAATGCTGCCTACCTGCGCACCATAACTTTTGATGTTACCTGTCTTAATTTTCCTTCATTTCAAAACATTATCTACTTCCCATCTGATTTCTTCTTTGGCTGATTTGTCACTTAGAAGCAGGTTGTTTAACTTTCAATCATCAAGGCCACAATCCAGGTATTTTTGGGCTACTGATTTCTAGGTTAATTATGTATTTGCCAGACACTAGTCTTTGTATAATTTCCAACCTCTGAGATATACTGAGGTTCATTTGATGGCCCAGACTTTTATCAGTTTTGGAGAACGTTCCATGTGTACTCAGAATGAACGTTCTCTGGTGCTGGTGAGTGGTGTAATCTGTAAATGTCAGTTAGGTCAGGTGGTTAACAGTGATTTCAAGACGTGGTATCTGTACTGATCTCATACAAATTCTATCAACTACTCAGGATTGTTGGATCACCCACTTTATTTATTTGTTTGTTTTTAATGTTTTATTTATTTCTGGGAGAGAGCGCCAGAGAGAAAGCATGGGCAGGGGCGGGTCAGAGAGAGAGGGAGTCACAGACTCTGAAACAGGCTCCAGGCTCTGAGCTGGCAGTCAGCACAGAGCCCGACACGGGGCTCGAACCCACGAACCGCGAGATCATGACCTGAGCCGAAGTTGGACGCTTAACCGACTGAGCCACCCAGGCGCCCCAGGAATCACCCACTTTAATTGTGGATTTGTCCACTTCTGGTTTTGGTTCAACCGATTACTGCTTCAAATCTTATAGCTCTAGCTCTAGTTGCATACACCTTCAGGATTCTTACGCCTTCTTAAAGAACTGACCCCGTTATCATTATGAAACATTTCTTTTTATTTCTAGTAGTAGGGACTCTTCTGTAGTCTACTTTGATGTTAACATAACCATTCAGGCTTTCCCTTGGTTGAGGTTTGGATGGTATATCTTTTTACATTAATTTAATTTTAACCTGTGTCTTTATATTGAAAATATATATCATAGAAGGCTTATAACTGGGTCTTGCTTTTTAAAACTAACCTTTGAATCCTCCAGGAGTAATGAGGGGAGCTTACAGACATAAAGATACAGGAAACCTGTCCTTTATGCTGTAGTTACCTCCCACCCTGCATCGTATCCGATTTCTGCTCCTGTGTGTCCTGCCCAAGAAAGTTCTAACACGCTCCAAAGATTTGATGTGTACATGTTTGTGGTTTTTTAGTCAATGTATAGTATAGGAGAAAAGAATATATATATTTTATATATAAAAAAAGATGTATTTTTTAAGGACTAGTCAATCCATTTTCTTTAAGTTTCCACCAAAAGCTTAGCTACATGTTGACCACATTTATCTTTCCTGGCAGTGTTCATTCCATTACGTAGATCCAAACTTTCATCCGGTATCATCTTTCTGACTCCAAAGAACTTCCTTTCACTTTCTCAGAGTGCTAGTGTGTGGCCAATCAATGCCCTCGGATTTTGTCTCCAGTTTCTTTCTTTTTTTTTTTTTTTAATATTTTTATTTATTTCTAGGAGAGAGAGAGACAGCGTGAGCAGGGGAGGGTCAGAGAGAGAGGGAGTCACAGACTCTGAAATAGGCTCCAGGCTCTGAGCTGGCAGTCAGCACAGAGCCCGACGCGGGGCTCGAACCCACGAACCGCGAGATCATGACCTAAGCGAAAGTCGGACGCCTAACCGACTAAGCCACCCAGGTGCCCCTGTCTCCAGTTTCTTTATTTTATCTTTAGTTTTGAAAGATATTTTTGTTGCATGTAGAATTCTAATCTTCAATAAGATTTTGTAGTTGGCGTTAAGTCTTACGCTGTTCTTAGATTCATTAGAGGACTATTGCTTTTGTTCATAGAGTGAGTGGAATATTCTAGGTACTTAAGTTCGTGAAGAGAGAGCTATTGATTTATTTACACATTTTTTTTTGTATTCAGCCATATGAAAATTTTTTCTTGTTAATTACACCTTATTTAAACTAACGTCTTTTAGATTTTCTAGGGATAGAATTATGTTACCCAGAAAAGAGAGACATTCTTCCATTTTCTAGTTCCCCATCACTTACTCTGCTTGTAGACTGCGTTTCCTGTTATCTCCAAGAGCACATTAAATATGAATAGCAATGGTGAGTACTCTGGCCTGTCTGTAATGACATAGTTTTACTGATTGCCATTGAGAATGCTTTTCGCTTCTAGTTGGCTTATAGTAGATGGTTTTTGTCATATTTAAGTGGGTTTTCATTC